CCCCCCCCCCCCCCTAAATAAACCTCAGCTTCTCAAAACAAAGCTTTAATGATGAAATTCGTAATATAAAATTGTATGCTAAACATTCAAACACAACATAAGTTTAAGTATGCTCATGACCAACAAATTTTGTTTTTTAAACTTCTTTTCAATGTTAAACTCATTTACTCAATACAGGCCCTAGGGCCCTGGCTTTGGGCCGAATAGGCCATTCATTTTTTTTTCAGTGGTGGGGCAGAGGAAGGGGCCCAGTGGGGAAAATACCCCACCAGTCCATGGTATTAAAAAATGCCTTGGAGTAAGAATGAAATGACTGAATAGCCCTGCTTCCCGCCTTTCCCCCTGTTGTACTACTGGACCAAGGGCAAGGAGAGCCCTTCCTATACCTAGTACTGATTAGTTTTAAAAATGATAGCTAGACTGTCCAATACTGGCAATACAGTAAAACAATAAGGTATATAATGTATAGTTTATAAATAATTTCCTCCTGTAGTATAATACTAAACTACATAAGTGTTATAATAGAACAAATTATGTAAAACAAACTTTATCAACCAAAGGAGTTGAAATATAGAATAAACTAGATCCAAATTTCAAAAGTATAAATTCGTTAAGTACCTAGTTTATTTAAAAAACAAATTAAACAACATTTTCTTCTAAATGAAGCTTAAGGAAAAACAAACCTGTATTCAATATATATATACTCTGTACATATATTAAACGTATTGTATCTCAACTGCATGTCTTCATAGCTACTATAGTCTTTTTTTGCACATCACATTTCCTTCGTCAATTTGTAAATAGTTCTATACATTTTAAAACATTTTTTATTCTTTGAACAATGTCTGTAATTATGTTGATAAATTTTCATAACATGAACAAAACTAGGGGCCTAAATTAAAAAGCCTGAAGGTTTCTGGTAGGTTCCTAGCCCAACATTATTGTTAGAAATCTAACTTTATATAAAAAAAAATGTACATAGGGAAAACTTCATTAAAAAAAAATACTGATTCAATAAGAAATGACCCTTACTAGACCTCTAATGTGAACAGTTTAGAACTGCTTGAGATTTACAGTATAAAAGAAGTTAATTTAGTTTAGGTTTCCTCTTGTAGTAACACTGACACTGTAGCAATAGCTGCTGGACCTCTGGGGTGAACAGTTTAGACCTGATTGAGATATCCAGTATAAACAAAGTTAGTTGAAGACTTGAAGTGTCAACAGTTATTGCTTTATATATTACTGAATGTTGTTTTTAATCGGCTCAATGTTTTTTCTGCAATTGCCCGAAACAATCGCGAAAGTTTAGGTAGTCTTAATTCTGGTTAGTACCGAAGGCTGGTAAAATCAACTCTTCGCAGCTATTTCAGTTGAACGCACACTAGACAAAGGCCCCTGCGTATGGAGTGCAAGTTAAGCTCGGTTTCTTTGTCTTGCATCGATTCCCTCCCAACGTCTTGACATATAACACTGTTAGTGTGTACAATGTAGGCTAATAACTCACAGCGGCTCATAGTCATGCGGATATTCACGGGTAGACAAATCGCAGCTAATGCAAATACTCGAGGTCACGCAAGTTGAAAGACCTAATTTTAAGCAATGCACGCAATAAATGCAATTTAGATCCTTATCAGTGTTTATGTCGGAGAGCTGATGGATTAACAGGCTACATTAATCACACATATGGTCACGAGATTTCACAAGGAAAGCTAGGAAACTACAAATCTACACAATTTAACGAATGAACTCGTCAACTCGAGCTTTCTAAATCTTGTGATTTATTTCGTGTTGTTTGCGCAAAATTAGAACTTTACTAAAAGTTTCGCTAACGTGCGCAGTGCGTCGCGGCTATTTGTCAGTAATGTCACTTCTCAATGGCCTATTACAAAAGGAATCGGTATTCAACAACATCTTGATAACATCATCTCTAAAACAAGACACAATGCACACATGTGTGTATGACATATATTTGGCCATTAATTTCCCCATAGGTTTGCTTGATTACATGTAAAATAAACATCGATATAAAGGGGTGCGCGCCCACCCAGCATTATTTTCACGTTAAGGCTGACTGTATGTGCAATAGAGGCTTCCAGAAAGTATGACTCTTCGGCCTTGAGCCTTGTTTTCGCGATTGACCAGTCGAAATAGCGGGCTGCCAATGGCCAAAAGCAGGCCATATTTTAGAAATGGCAGGCAAAAATTCCCCTTATTACGTTTTCGTAGCGCTTTGCATTGTGGTTATAGTGGTATCACTGACTTTCAAGATGGCTTATTTTTTGTTCTGACCCGTGCAACTTTTAAAAAAAGCTAGGGTCAGGCGCGTGATAGCCAACAGCAAAATATTCGCGAAAAATTCAATATTTTCATTCGAGGCCGCTATCTTTATCAGTGATACCACTATAACCACAATGCAAAGCGCTACGAAAACGTAATATATAAGGGGAATCTGTTGCCAAAATAAAAAAAATTGGCAGGTGAAATTCTATAGATATATTTCATTTCATTCGCTTACCACAACTCATATATACTAGATCATTTCGTTGACCAAATACGTTTATATTTGAAATGTAAATCCGGCAAGTTTACTGTAGTAAAATAGACAAGTTTAAAAATAATAAAAATGCATATCATGAAATTGATTTTTATAATATGACTCATATGAGACATCGCCATTTTTTATTTTTGGCAGTTCAAATGAATAAAAATGGCAGGCTAAAAATTTTTCCGGCTGCCAAAAAATAGTTTTATTAGACTGGCAGGCCATATTTTTTCTCTACTTCGAACCCTGCGATTGACAGACTTGGATATAACTAATCTCACATAGTATACGCAAGAACAACTGCTCTGTATAACCAAAATAACGCACTTTCCAGAAGCCGGGTATGCTTTCGTTGGAAGCGAATTTCTAACAAATGTTTCCTGAACAACTAGTTGCTCACCCGCGAAAAAACATGCCTAAAGGCTGACTGCACTATCAAAGTTTCTGTGATCACAGTAGGAATTTTGCACGCTTTGAGGGATTTGTAAGAAATGTTTGAGAGAAATGAATGAATGATTCCAGTTATAGACTAAATTTTGATCTATAGGCGGGAACAACAAAATCCATCACCACAGCTAGAAAGAGCATGTCAAAATGAGTAAAATTGCAAAGTTTGGTTGCGAAATGTTGTAAAATACTGATAATATAGCCCTACGAAATTTGCAAATGTGGTGCATTTTCCCGCGCGCAGTACAAATTAATACAAAATTTGCAAATTTCGCAGGGCTATATTTTCCTCATTTTACAGCATTTTGCAACCAAACTTAACAATTTTAAGCACTGGGCAAACTAGGAAACATTGTTGCGGGAACATTTTTGATTCTCGATGTCGAGCTCGATGTCTCCTCAAATGTTTCCCTGTTTGCCCACCCGCGTGGAAACATTGTTGCGGAAACAAAATTTGCTTCCCGAGAAGCAAAAATGTTTCCTAGCAAATTCAGAAACATTATCAGTTAACCTATGTTTCTCACTAATGTTTCCTAGTGTTTGCCCACTCTGGGAAACATGGCGAAACATTGGCAGGAAACAATGTTTCCACAACAATGTTTCCTAGTTTGCCCAGGCCAGGGCTTTACTAATTTTAACATGCTCTTTCTAGCTGTGGTGATGGATTTTGTTCTTCTTGCCCAGATCAAAATTTAGTCTATAGCTGGGAATCATCAATTGAGCGGCGGTTCATGAAGTTGACTGGAAAGACTAAGTCTGAGTTCCCTCAAACATTTCTTACAAATCCTTCAAAACTTAGAATTTGCCCATGCTATATTCCTACTGTGATCACAGAAACTTTGATAGTGTATAACTTTGATGTTTCGGCAACGCTATTGCTGAGTTTGCTTAGGGCTTAAAAAACTTTTCTAGTTCAAAAGCTGGAGTGAATGCAGACAAGAAAACAAAATTGTTCATCTAAATTTTCTTGCGCTGTCTCGCGCTCTTCTCTCATAAATTCTTTTTGAGTCTTGAAATATCCCCAGTATCTGCTGGTCCTGAGCTGTTTCAACTTGAGGGGTGATCAAGAGTGAAAATACGGCACGTAACACATCTTCAATGCCATTGGTTGGGTTCCATTTATCCGCACTGACAAAACCAAGACACACCTGGCCCGAGGACTGATCAATGTTGACATGGTACACTGGAGTGAGGAATCTGATCTGAAACATGGAAGAAAATCTTATGGCACAGACCCTGCGCTTTGGTATGGTCAGAGGCCGCGGAAGCATTTCGAAAGTGGAGGGGCATTGGCCCAAGGGGGCACTTTTGTATATGACCAAAATCAGACCATTTTATGTCGTTCATGAGCCGAACGAAAATTTTTGAAAATGTCGAGTCTCTATAACGTCGGAAATGGCCTTTACAGAGTCTTTACTACTGCAAAATGGGCACTTTCTTTCCGTTCATTCAAGAAATACTTTAAATGGGACACTTTAGCCCAGAAAAATATCACGAATAGCATGCATCAGAGAAACCACACATGCAGCAATGCAGGCTGGGGTAGTTTTTCGGTATACCGGAAAATACCAGGTTTTTTGAAAAACCAGTTTTTTCGGTTTTGCCAAAGTCCAAGCACCGAAGAAAAACCCGGAAAAAGACCCTGAACCGGGGAAAAACGGAGATAAAAATGCTAATGTTTCAGCTAATTCTAGCTGAAAACTTGTAAATACGTTCTTTTAAGATTGTCTTCTTACTTGTATTTTTATACCTCTGTAAGCTTTTGATATTACGCATCTAAAACTAAAATTTTTCACATAATAAAAACACATGCTACATGGTTTTATGTATGTGTGTTATTTATAGATTAAAAACCGGTTTTTCCGGGTTTTCGGTTTCGATTTTTTTCAAGAACCGCCCCAGCCTACAGCAATGCAAATTCTTTCGAATACAGTATCTTCAGCCTAGTCCCTGGCCTTCCAAGCGCGGGCGAGTTACAGGCTGTCGTGAACTTGCGGGCTGTCAGTTTCGGAAAATATCCGAACTGGGTCTTCTCGCCTCTCCCCAGTCTCCAAATAATACAGCTTTATCCCGGTCAACCTGCAAACCTTATCGATTTCCCCCTAAAATAATGAGGCGGAGCGAGAAGGCCAGGAACTAGGCTGCAGCATCTTCATTTCTTTCAGTCCGAAAACATAATATTATTGAAATCATAATTAGGTAATTAAATTTGTTTGGTTGTTGTTGTTGCTTATTACTGTTCTATAAAAGAGGCAATAAAGTCGGTTTTCCACTAGCGAATTTTCTCGCACTAGCGAATTTTCTCGCACGAAGCGACCTTTTTCCTTTGTCGGTATCACTTATTACATCAGCAAGACATGGCAAAATGGATGCCCGCTTCGCGCTGAAAAATTCGCTAGTGGAAAACCAGCTTAATAGAGGGTAATAAAGCACATTTAAACATGCACATTTACTATAGGCTAATGACTCGGCAAACTTACCAAACAGTCGGCAAAAGATCAATCCACTTGCTCAAAGAGGGTTAGCGCTGCCCCTGAAATCATTTGAACATTAAATGAGAATAAGAATTACATACCGTAGGTGGAGACAACGGGTACTCTTCACTGGTTTAAGAAATTGAATGTCAAGGATATCTAAGCAACTTTGAAATTATACTTAAGGTAATTCCGCAGTTTTGCATTGCGCACTTTTACTGCGCACATCTTATAACTTATAATTTCATCCATTATACGTACCGTTTATAAAGAAAAATAATTTTATGACAATTTTATGTTACTTCAAAACATCTTTGGTTACATTCGTGCAAAGAATTACGTTAAAATCAATGTTTTCAAAAAAGGAATACAAACGTGTAGCTAGGGTTTCTAGTGTGTCTGCAGTGTATTTATTTACTTGTATTTCACGTTTTAATGCCACAATTCCCTAAAAAGATCGGTGACCCCCGTTTTTTAACTGATAATTTATTTCTTTAATGCATTTTACATTTCATATCCAAAATTAAAAGAAAAATCATTTCTGGATCTTGAAAAAAAATCCTTTATCAATGCATGTTCTCAAAGAAAGATATGTAAAGAAATGTGGAAAATACATTTGTGGATCAGAATTGTACACGTTAGTAGACTTAGTAGTTTCATTTTGCTCAAAACACAATATTTTTCAAAAATAATTACAAGATAGGTTTACTAAAGCAAAATCCATGCTAAAAACGTCAACAAATATCGGGCTGTTGTGAGTTTGCTGTTACTCGTAATGAACGTCAAGATGGCGCCATATTGGGGTAAAGGTGGTATATTGTGATTGTCATATCTTCTTAACGAGTTCGGTGACCTCAACTTTTTTGTGTGATTTTACTTTAAGTATATCAAAAACTTCATGCCTGGGAAGTTTCAGCACATTCTCATTTCGGGAACAATTACTGCGGAATTACCTTAAATACATTTTGGTTACATATTGCATCAGGGTTCTGAAAGATGGTTCAGATTGAAATTGGGAGGACCATATAGAAATCTTGAGATATGTAATGAAATTGGGTATGAGCCTATTGTGGCTGGATTTGACTGGTCAAATTGAAAAGGATACGGTAGAACAACTTGAGTTTTCAAATTGGCACCTTTATACAGTGATTGTTCTGGTGCTGCAAATTTTGCTTCCCAAATACAGATGTTGTCAGAGGGCATCGACACCTCTATACCATGAGGCTTTGAGGCCTGAATAGTTTGGAATTCTTTAAGAATCCTATAAATTACATGAAGTGATGTACAGTGATGAGAATCCTGCAAAACAGTTAGAGTTCTGAAGATGTTATTTTTGCAATGAAATAACCCGACGCAACATTACAAAGCATGTGCATGTTATCAATGTTATTTAGGCAAGCACAATTATAACCTCTCACTCTGTAAGCCCTAATCAGTAAACTAGGTGACTGACTGATTGACCAACAGACTAACTGCATGATCAACTCACTGACCAACTCACTGACTGTTTAGCCAACCTATGTGACCAACCAACCAGTTGGTTTGCCAGTCAGTTGGTGAAATTTATGAAAATAACAGAAATGCAGGGAGGTTGTTGCAAGCAGTTTGATTATATGCAATATTTTACAAAGCAATGTAGAATAATAGAGCTACATTAACTTTCACTTTGGTTTGGGGCTAGCCTGCAAACAGGCTCTCAAGCTGAATTTCGCAGGCTAGTTTGGGGCTTGTGATCAACCCCGTCCCCAGGGTCATATGACTTCATGCTTGTGTACCACCACAGTGTGATTGGGGCTTGAAATTGCATTTGGAAAAGGCATGAGTTATAAATACAAACAGACTACGTTCTTGATCGCTTTTATTTAAGCTTGACGACGTCATCGCTGTTTCAATGCTATGACATATAAATTAAATTGAAGTATCAATATTAATATGGAAGTCAAAACGCTTTAATAGTTAGTTCTGTGGATCAACATTGTTACCATATAAAAGTTGTACAAACATATACAACAGGGTTTGAATCCCACTTAAGAAAGAATCCCACTTAAGAGAAAATTCCAAGGTAAAGTCATTTCTTGTGAATATGTAAATAATAAATATTCAATGAATATTCCTTATATTCGTAATCTACCTTCTTAGATTTCCTCAACACACACAGACATTAACATGTAATCGCGCTACTATTAAATTAATCTACGCACTAAAGAATCCACGTAAAGTTCTTTTACATTATTCTCTTACCTCTTTTTAGACATTTTGAAACGTCAAATACCAAGAAAACGGCGAAAATGAAAGCACTGCTGTTCGAGGAAAACCCAAACACCTACTGATGTCAGGTTATTACCCTATGGTAGGGTATTACC